TTCCCCTCCCCCTTTTCTGATGAAGGGTCTAGGCCCGAAACGTCAGCCTCTCTGCTCCTATGATGCTGCTTGGCCTGCTGTGTTCACAGAGTAGTTTAGAATACAGCTTTTGAATATTTATTGTGCTATTTTATCATTTAAGAGCGTTGCTACAGTGATTTTATGCAACCACTGAGCTCAGACTGTCTCTGTGCCTATTCTCAGTGCCTGTTATTACAAATAAGATTATGAATTCATTGTTTGCATAAGCATTGTGTCAACTGCTTTTCCATACACCATGGAGAAGTTTTGTTATGCCTCACCACTGTAGGCTTATTGGAGGGCTTTAGAGGGAGGGAGAGCACTGAGCATAGGTGAGTTGAGTTTCCTGAAGAAGTTATGATGTTCAGGCATAACAGATGATTTAGTAATCATGTTTTGTTTTTGCAGCTGACATTAGAATGCACTCAAAAGGCAGATAATGAAGTGGAAGCAAGTTACTTTAATTCAATTTAACATTAATTCGTATCTGAAATGTTCTCCATGACAGTGACATGCTACAGTTCTAAACCTCCTAAGTTACTCAAGTTGCCTAGTCTATGTTGAATTGACTCGTATCAAATCAGTATTATTCGTCTTATTACTGGACTTAATTTAGTCAGGTTGGGAAAGTTTTAAAACAAAAAGTTGCCAGGTTTCCTATTTCCTAAAACTCCTGTACAGTAACCACTCTGGAAAGTATGCACGCAAACTCAAATGGCAAGATTGTTTGATTATAGTGTTTCATACTGTTGAATAGTCTTTCAATACACTGGCTGTCCCACATGTGAAGTATGGTCATTTGGACTGACTGAATGCACTTTCAATATCTGGAACTCTATCACAGCATGAGTCACTACCTTAGGACAGGAAGGGGAAACCCAAAACTAAATTAAAAACCAAATTAAAATGAAAGATTTTACTTTTGATCCACAGCAACAATTGCATATAATTACATATCAATGACATATACTCCCATCTGATACTTTGTCTTAAACCCAACTTCTAAACCGAATACTTAAAATTATGTACATTTTATATCCATTAGAATACATCTAATGATCCTGTATAGATAGCTGTCTATTTTTAGGAAGTTTTGTCTTTATTTTCTAGCTGTTTAGACTATTACCCTGTACAAATAAATTTGGTTCACCTTGTCATTCTTGGCTTTATGGACAGCATATGTTGTCCAAGACTGAAGGAAGTCTGTCAGTTTAGTTTTAATTGATCAGCTCCTCTTGTCGATAGTTTTGTTTTATGATGCGTTGTCAGAGTAGTTTCTACCCTTGTTTGTATTTGTTTTGTTTTGCTAGGCGTTCATTGGTCACTCTGAAATAATTCAACAAGCTATGTTCACTCCAGACCAACTAAGTGTAATCAGTGTTGGAGATGCAATATTTGTCTGGGATTTTCTTGCTGGTGTACTAGATCAGGAGACCAGGTAAACATGATGGTGCTGTTACTTACAAATGCTTGTACTTACAAACATGATGTCATACAAGGGTTTAACTTTTAAAAACTGGGCATGCAAACATTTCCTGTACTTATAAATGGCTGCTTTACATTGCCCTGAATTGTGTTCCCACAAATCAATTTGCGAGTGGACTCCAGAACCGATCCCGTTCGCAACCTGGGCACTACCTCTACAAAGAGAAATTCATTCACCCTTGTTGGGATTGTGACACCACTTTATAAAGGGCTTGTGGACCCCTAGGTAGAATTTATTTTAATAAGATTTGAATGCTGTGTTGATGTACTTTCGTTCTTTGGAATGACAAGAATTCATAGAGTTTTTATTCTGTGGAGCAATGTAAAAGTTTGAATCAACAAAGAATGCAGACAATCAGGGAACTGTTTTAGAAGGAACTTTAAATGTTTAGAGTGTATTGTTAATTGATGGTTAGGAATTATTTTTATTTTTTTGTCGCTAACAGCCTTCCTTCAATTCAGCCGTTTGCCCTCCATGGAACTGGTGAGTTTTCACTACTTAAGTGTGGATTTCAATTTGCATAATCATGAACCTTGTAGAATTTGTAGTCATAGTATCATTACAGCGCAAAAGGAGACCAGGCAACCCGTCAAGTCCACGCTGGCTCTCTGTAGAGCAATCAGTCCTATTTCCCCCTCCATCCCTCTAGTCCTCCTGAATTTATTTCCTTGAATGCCCATCCAACTTCCACTTGAAATTATTCATTGCCCTTGCTTCCACCATCCTTAATAGGTGGTGTGTTCTAGAGTATTACCTCTTACTGCATTAAAAGTAACCCCTTGCATCTCTTACCTAAATCTGTGTCCCCAATCCTTTGTACTATCAACTAATGAAAATGGAATTTATTTGTCTCCCTTAATCAAACTTGTTATAATTTTATGCACCTCTATCAAATCTCCCCCCAGTCTTCTTTGCTCCAAGGAGCACAGCCCCACTTCAGTTTTGAGGAGACCTCTAAAAACAATTGTTTTGTGATAGAATTAGCAGGCCTTTGGAAAAATATTGGTTACTTCCGAAGAGTTAGCATAGATTTATTAAGGGCATGCTATTTCCAACTAACTGGCTGTTTTTGAAGAGGTAAAAGAGAGGATTGATGAGGGCAAAGTTGTTAATGTGGTGTGCACTGACTTCCATAAAGCTTTCAGTACAGTGCGACACCAACAGTTGTGCAAAGGAATTATCAGACCATTTAATAAAAGGGACAGTAACAATGTAAGTATTAAATTTGTTGAGGATAGGAAACTGAGTAATAGTTAGTGGGTTTTATTGAGCTGGAAGAAGGTTTGTAGTGAGGAAAGTTTATAGTGGAGTTCCCCAGGGGTCAATATTTGAACTCTTTTTCTGGCACATGTACGTGGGCTAGTTCTTAGTGTGCACGGATAGTTTTAAAGTTCGTAGATGAATATGGAATTTGGGGGAATTATAAACTCTGAAGATGAGACTGTGAAGCTTTAAAAAAAACATTGACAGGTTGCTGCAGTGGGTGAATAGATAGGAGATGAAGTTCAATGTGGAAAGGTTTGAGCTGATGCATTTTGTTACAAAGATCATCAACAGACAGTACAAAATAAAGGGTACTAATCTAAAGGGTGTGCAGGAACTCAGAGACCTGGATGTATGTGTGGCTAGGTCATAAAAGGTGGCAGGATAGGTAAAGTAAGCTGTTAATAAAGCATACGGTATTTTACCTTCAGTAATGGGCATTGAATCCAAAATTGGAGTTTATGCCAAACTTTTATAGGCTCTGGTCAGACCTCAGCTGGAGTATTGTCTACAGTTCTGGGTGAAGAATGTGAGTGTATTGCGTAAAATGCAGAAGAGGTTTACGAGAATGATCCAGGGATCAGATACTTCAATTATGATAAGTTGGAGAAGAAAGTGTTGCAATGGTAATGCCAGTGGACTAATAATCCAGACCCCCAGGCTGGAATGATGTGTTCATACTCCACCATGGCAGAAATTGAAATTTGGATTCAATTTTTTTTTACATCTGGAATTCAGAAGCTAGCCTAATAGTGACTATGTAACTACTGCTGACTGTTTTTAAAACCCATTTGGTTCACTAATGACATTTTGGGAAGGAAATCTATCATCCTTACCTGGTGTGTCCTGCATGTAACTCCAGACTGTTGACTCTCCAAGCACATGATTTTATTCATAACTAGCAGAATTTTTTATTTGATGACAGACATTAAACAATGAATATAATTTTTTTTTTTAAATTTTAGAAGCTCCCTCGGTTGCAGACGGCAGTGAGGGATGCCAAAACGGTGGGATGCCTCGCCAGTCAGTACCAGTCCCCAGCTCCTCCCCACCACTCAATGTCAGTGCTATTGAAAGAAATGAACAGGATGGTGAGTAATATAGGAGGCAATTTAGGGTTCCCATCCAATTAGTGGACGCAAAAGAAAAATATACAACTGAACACCTGCAATCATCATGGAAGTAGGTCATGAGCAATCATTCACAAGTGAGTATGATTGTCCACCTAGGAAATTCTGCCATTGGTCATGGGTTCTGCATGTCCTTGTGTGGTTGATGAGGTCGATCCTACAGCCGCATTTCTGACCAAACGTTTGGCAGGTGTTCCCAGAAGTGGAATTAGATCTTGGCCCTGAGATTGCTGGTATTCCTTTTTCTAATTACTTTTCAATACTTCTTTTGATAGACACCTTGTGCAGGGCATCTCTTAACGTGGGAATGCAGCTGCACATCAGACACACATTCCTTGATGGAAGGTAGATCCAGTTCCCGTGGCAAGGAAACCCTGGGTTTTGATAGCCATTATGTCACACAAGTATCTTCTGCCTGAATCTCTGTCGAGGTTGTGTTTTAGGGTTGTGCTTTGTCTGGTGTCTCCCCTCTGACTTTTACTGTCATGGGTTGCCCTGCCAGGACTTGAGAATTCCTGGCGGAGTCGTTCTTGGGATCAATGGAACATTCAAACCTCCCACCGCAGCAAGTTGGTATGCGTGACTGATACTTGCTGATTTAAAAAGTATTGCTGCTCTATTAAAGTTGGGTCTTAAGTTTCACTCAACTATTTGCATGTCATTTAGTAAGATTACCTTAATGATGAGATTCTGGAGTGCATGTCATTTAGTAAGATTACCTTAATGATAAGATTCTGGAGGCAACTGGTGACAGAGGCAGTTGCTTTGTTGAGAGTTGCTTTTCAAAATCTGGTGATGAATTGGCTATTTAATTTTCTCATCCTCTGCTCTTTATTAGGCAAATTGTTCTGAATCAACTCACGAGCTGTGAGCCATGTCATGACTTTTGATACTTTTAATCAGATCCAGTACTATAGATATTACAAATTTTAAAGCTTTTCTTTAAAAAATGAACGGAAAACCTGTTAAGACAGTTGCAACATTCTGAGAGACTTTTGATAGTACCAGATCCAGACAGCCCCCAGAACTCCAGCAAACACCTAGTCTAATATGGGCATTCACAGCCATTCAGGAAACTAACATAATTCATTAAGTTTTGTGCATTCAAAGACCATTTTTTGTTCTATGGGAATTTATGCTTAATAAAACCTAATTAAGTCAGCAAACCCTCGAATGCACACACATTCCTTTTAATGTTAACTAGGAGAAATAGGTTAAGTTGGAGGCCCAGAGTGACCCTAGAATACTTATGATTAGGTTTGTAAGGAGGTTAGGAGTCAGAAGTGGCAACATCTGTGGGGAGAAAGCAGAGTTATGTCGAAGAATAACCAGACTCGAAACATTAACTTTGTTTTCCCACAGGTGACGCCAGACTTTGAGTTTCATCAGCAATTTCTCTTTCTATTTCAGACCTCCAGCATCCATAGTTCTTTGTTTTAACATAGCAGTCAGGAATACTGTGAAGAAGCGACTGTTGATCAACAAACAAAAGTTACAAGCTTTGAATCCAATGTCTTGGCCTTGCTCTGGTTTAACATAGCCAAATGCTACAAAACACTGCGCTTAAAATTGCCAGACCCCTCAATGCGCTTGTCTTACCACTTCTTGACTGAAATGTTGGAACAGTTGAAGAGGAGGTTTCTCCATGTTGTATAAGTATTTTCAACCCTGGTGCAAGATGAATGTTTAAATATTAATTTTTTTCCTGATTGGCTACAGTCTAAACATCAGACGTCCTCAACTGTAACAAAATAGTTGCCTTAGTATCACAGTTGCTGGTAATGTCAGCTGATTTGATACATAATCTGCATAAATATGACACTTTTGGTCAATTGATTTGGCTTATACTAACAATTTCTGTGGGATTTTTCTTCTTCCAAGTGTTTTTGTCTGATCCAGAGAGTAAAGATAACCACAATCAAAATGATGACTCGATCACCGTTGGAAGAATTGGAGACTCAATCTTGCAAGTCCATGAAAATATGCATTCTGGCGAGAATGTGTCACCTTTCATGAAGCCTGTTTCTCTTCAGGAACACCAGGAAGAGCTGGATGAACCAGGTAGCTCAGCCCTAGGTGCTCTGAATGCCACTACTAATTCTAGCACTGCTAGAGAGCATGGGTTTTAAATTTGAAATCAAGTATCCAGTGAAAACAGGCACTGTAAGTTACTAACTCCCAATTGGTGATAATTGTCTAAAATGCATGGGGAAAGGTGAGATCCCATATGAGAGGTTTTTTTCTGTTGTTCTTCCTTTATGCTTGCTTATCTGTTTCGTACCCGATCGTAACAGCTTTAATAGTGTTGATAACCTTGCTTAGACTTGAAAAGACTCATTCCACCTTGTTAATGTTAAATTTTTCTTAATTTCTTATATAGGTTTTCCAGTTGAGGATCAAAAACACCTTGTTTTGCCCTTTATTATAACAAAAATGGGTTTTAGTTTCTTTTTGCATGCTCTATATGACACTGTACTTTAGAATGTGCTTAGGTTATGATGCTTTGGAGCAGTCACACTTACCTGCGTTTAACATTGATAGCATGATTACTTCTCTTGTGGAACTCTGATTCATATTTAGAACATCCCCTGTACATTTGTATCAGCTAATATATCTGTCAAGACTATACTTTTAACCAAAACTTTGTCAATTGCTATTGATCTAAAAATGCATGAATGCGTTGCAGACCATTTCTTGATTGCGATAGGATTTTAACATGCTCCTCTTTCATAGCATCTTGGTTTGGAGATGGAGATTTCCCACACAACAATAAACGTCCAGATTCATACAAACATTTTGCTGCTCAATTCAAAGCCTCATCTGTATCTCAGGTACAATTTAATTACCTTAATTTCTGTATCTTTATATTTATATTGCACGACTCTAAGAAGGCTCAGTCAATTTAATGAGCTGCTTATTTTTGGCTTTGATGTTTTCACTTTGAATCCAATTGAAATACGCATAACCTGGAAATAAGTGTTGTCATCATCAAGAGCCATGCCCATCTTCCTGATATACCAGATTTGGCACAACCTGAAAATGTGGTTTGTCTGTGAGAGAACAGTCTTGTGATGATTTGTTTGAAGTTGCCTGAGCATCTGTAACAGAAAGGTGTTTGATTTCCTCACCATTGTCTGCTAGAAGCCATGTCAGTTTGAAACCGTTTTTTGCCTCTCCATCCTTGAAGGATTATCCCCCTGTATTCTATGGACTGTCGTGTGATTTTTTTTATGTCTAAGTTGTCTTTTTAAAGAAGATGGGCACATTTGATTTGAAATTAGTTGAAGTTCAGAAGTTGCAGAAGTTACTTAAGGCTAAGTAAGGGATCTGCTGTTATTTGTATTATTCTCTCCCCACCAAACTAAGAAAGTTGATCTCGTTTCAGGTTGGAACCAACTGCTTGGACAGCCTGCATTCACTAGCAAAGCACTTCTTATGCTTTGCCTCCATTCTCTGAAAAGTGACTGAGATCGGGGTACCCCCAGCCCTTTACTGTTGTATCTAATTTGTTATTCCCACCATGCTATTAGACTCATATTTTTAAATAACATTTTCAAAAGTTATGGAGATATTTCTGTGCTTTAGGTTTTCATTGGGGAAAATTAATGATATGTTATGCTGCAGTAACTATCTTGTGATTCTCTGCTTAAAGTATGTGTGTCTGGACATCTTGTGAGAAAGGGAATCAAGCTTGGCTTTGGTTCATGGCAATGGTTTAATCATCTGATTCAGGATACCAGTTAACTTTTGACTATTGGGCTTGACAGGATGCTTATTGGCTATTAAATTGTACCCAATTTAATGCACAGATTTCAGAACAGAAGGAAAGACAAAAAGTTAATCAAAACAAAAAATATTAATTTATGACCATGATAAAAAGTACTCAAAAGTACTACTCAAGTATGTGAAAGAAAGCAAAACTTGCATTTGGGTAGCTGTTGACCATATTCAGAAATATCCATAAGATGGATCTTGAGGTTCTCAAGGTTACAGGTTATTTACAGGTTATGTAAATTACTTTAGAAGTATCTTGCCAACAGTAATATGCGTGAAGCAGAAAATTTTGGTTGGATGATTGAGCAGGGGGAATGTTTACCAGCACATCAGAATAACTTCTGGCACTTCTTTAATGTCATGAGATCTTTGACATATCCCTGAAGACAATTTTTGTCTCATTTTGGATGTGAATACCACTGCCACTAATACTGCACAGAATTGTTTATTTTCTAAGCACCCTTTTCAGAAATGTTATTACACACCTCTTGAGTAGCTTGGACTTGAACCCAGGCCTCCAAGCTCAGAGGTGGGGTCATTACTGCTGCACCACGAGAACCCCTAATGCTCTGATTTGTTAATCCTGAACCACTTGCATCCACCACAGTAGATCAGCTGAGTGGAGGCCAGCACTGATTTTCAATTATGAGCCACTTAATTTCAAGCATTGTGGTGAAGGTAATGAAAGGTTTCTGCATCTTTGGGTAAGGAGTTTAGAGTAGGAAAATACCTGTTCAATAACTTTAGTATCAAATGGATGTCTTAAATTTTTGGACTTGGCAATGTTTGACGACAGATAGTATTAAAGGGAGCAGGAACAAATTGGTTAAATGGCAGAAAATGGAGTTGTGGCGATGGTGTTATTTCAGACTGAAGACAGTTCTATGCTGGCGTTTTTCAGAGTTCACTGCTGCTTTTAGTATACATTGTAATTTCTACCAAATTCAAGGCATCAATGTCGAAATTAGTAGATGAAACTAAACTTGGGATGTAAGCAGTGAGTTAATAATTTGGACTTTAAGAAGACATAGACAGAGATGTGGAATGGGTAAACATATTGCAGATGACAATTGAAGAGTGTGATGCATTTAGATAGGAATGTTAAGGAAGACATTGCAAGCTAAACGGATCATTTTCAAAAGGAGTGCAAGAACAGAGACGTGTGTGTTTGTGCCCACATTTCTGAAAGTGACGGGTAGGGTTACCCAAACAAACCATAGAGCTCATGCGATCTTGAGCTTTATAAAATGGACTTGTAGATTACAAAAGCCAAAAAATTATGCCAAACCTGTATAAAATACTAGTTTGGCTTTCTTTGAAATACTGTGTATTTCCGGGCATTTCACTTTAAAAAGGTAATGAAAGCTTTGGAGAAGTAACAGAAGGAATTTGAGAATGAATCAGGTGTGAGGGACTCAAGCTACATGGATAAGTTAAAGAAACTTGAGTTATTCTCAACAGAGTAGCAAAGGCTTTGAGGAGATTTAGTAGTGGTGTTCGAAACCTGGAAATGTTTTGACAGAATTCTAAAGGAAAGCTGTTTTCAATGGTTATAGCGATGCTAATGAGATAGCTCTGAGAAGTTTGGCAAAGGTCACTTTTTTCTTTGCGTCTTTAAGATTTGAATGCAGTACCTACTCGGGTAGTAGTTACAGATTCAAAAGTAACTTTTTCAAATGGAAATTGAATAAACACTTGGAGTACAAAGAGTAGAGGGGTACGCTATATAACAGGGTTGAAAGAATACATGCAGGTTTCATGTTCTGAATTCTGTACTGCTTTATGCGCTGATTCTATCTGCACACCTTCAAATGACTCCATATTCACTTTGCTCTTTATGCATATTATAGTATTCTCAACTCTTACTGTAACTTTGCTCTCAGGCTGCAGTCCTTCCTGTTGGGAAAGAGGATCTGAAGCTGAAAGTAGTAATTGGATACAATGGAAACGGAAGAGGAAATATGGTCTGGAATCCTGATACGGGTAATTGTTAGGATATGACCCTAAATGGGAAGCTATGATTCAATAGCAAAGAGAACACTAATTAGAATTCAATTGTGGGTAACCAATATGGGAAATATGTATGATTTAGTAAAGAAGCACACGTTATGCAGCAAGTATTATGTCATATTTATGGCTGCTGGTACCTATCTTGAGATGCTAAATAAATTAACACCGTAGTTTGAACCTTCAGTGACTTTCCTATTCTGTTCACCTTGTTCATCAACAGTGGTGGACAGTAAGCACATACTTTCTGTAACTGAGTATAATATGAATGATTTTTCACTTTTTCACCCAGTGTTTGCTTAGCATGACACCATGCTAAATGTATTAAAAGTTCCTTTGACTTAGTGTAGATGTTTAACTCTGAGAAATACAATGCCAAATGTATACAAGTCTGCCTTTACGGACTTTTTCAAAAATACTGCAAATAAGCTTGATGTGATGTTATTTTGATGAATTAGCATTCAATTTAAATCCAATTATAGTTCTGATAACATCATTTCCATTGAGCTGTTCAGACCAGGATTGACGTTTAATCTGTTCTGTACTAAATTAGCTGGTTCCAGGGTTTGACAACAACAGTATCATTGGACACAATAATGGAAAAGAAGAAACCAGGGCTCTAGTCCATTTTCCAATGGTGTCAGTTGGAAAGAATGCCTATAAATATTGATTTAAGGTTGTGATATATGTCATATAAGGTACTGGTGCTTGTACTTATCCCTCAATAAATTAGTGAAAAAGGTTAGTTTGTAATTCAAAATTAAGGGCTTAATAGTCTTGTTTAAAATTATTCTTGCATAATTTAGTCGATTCACAATTTAAAGTCAATTTCATGTGATCAATTTGTATACCAAACCTTAAAAAAAAACCCTCTGAAACATGGCTTTTCTACAGCAAGTTGTAACCTACATCTGATTAATCAATTTGTTGGAATTCTGTTTATTTGTGACCTTGCAGTTCTGATCAAAAGTTTGGACAATGTGTTTCTGCCATTATTTTAGTTAATCCTTCTGTCTCTTCCTCCCAGCACTATTTGCATATTCTTGTGGCTGCTTGGTGGTAATTGAGGACTTGCATTCTGGATCTCAGAAACACTTAACTGGTCACATGGAAGAGATCTCTACACTTGCAGTTAGCCATGACGCGCAGGTACACTTGGACTAGAATTAGTATAAATTTAATCTTGTCACTCACTGGGATACCCGTACATAGCTTAGTAAGTAGTGATAGTAGGAACTGCCAATGCTGGAGTCTGAGGTAACAAGGTGTGGAGCTGGAGGAACACAGCAGGCCAGGCAGCATCAGAGGAGCAGGAAAGC